AAGATATAGCAGAGGGAATGAGTGGGTATGGTAGGGTGGAATTCATGACCGGAGGCAAAGAGTAGGTAAAGAAAGTGAGAGGCCAAGATTGGGGAAGAATCACAGATGTTGACATTGATTTTACCAAGACAGGAGGGGTTTTGGGGAGAGTGACAGGAAGTCAGATGTTTGCATAATCAGGGAAGGGAAATGACTGGAGATGGGCAAATTATTGCTACAAGAAGATATGGAAAATTATCACAGTGGGAAAACACAAGATTCAGAACTGAGGATCCTCTTAAGGAGGAGAGGGCAAGATCTGTAAGCAGAAGAGGATCAAGAAGGACATCTCCCTCCTCTCCAGCCCCACAGCCTAAGGATCAGACAACCATTAAGAGAAAGTATGATCTTACTGCAGGGAGGCAGGGTGTTACTGCAGACAGTGGTGAATGAGATGAGGAAGGGGGATTGCAGTCTTTGTAAGAGCACCAGGGTCCTGGGCCCCCTCTTCTCCAGATTTGAACCTAAATCTTAATGATAACAGGATTCTGAGAACTCCTTTCACAAGAGAGATTGTACAGCAAAGCATTTAAGGGTACAGAATTTGGAGCAAGACAGTAGTAAGCTTAATCACTTAATAGCTATCCAATCTTAAGGCAGGGATGTAACCAGTCTGGGACTTAGTTTCCTTATTCCTGAAATAGGGAATAATAATGTTTTCATGAGGATAAAATAAGTTAAGCTACGTAAAGTACATAGAGGAGTCTCTAGATAGTAATTAACATCATAATGGGTTTAAAGAACACAAGGGGGCAACCTGGATAAACAAAATAAGAATTAATAAAATAAGAATTAATTTAAGTAGATGTACACATCTTTAAACTTGAGAGATACAAAAATCCAGGGAAACAGGAAGATGGGTAGTGAAATAGAAGAAGAAATAAACATACAGATATGGATGTGGTAGACAAGAAACAAATGGTAGATTATAAATGTGTAACTCCTACTCATCAGCCAACAATGACCAAAAACATTTCCTGAGAGCTGAAGCATGTGTTTTCTCTGGTCTCATAAAATACATGGTTTGGTCATGAAGATGGTACAGAGTTTGAAGACCTGGACATTGACCAAGTCCCAAATGTTGCCTGTATAATGGACATGAAGTCCATGGATGATTCATGCTATGTTTCATAAAATAATTATTTGAACTAGGATATGTATTTTCTACATAAATAAATTCTTAAATAAATAAAACAGAAATTGTGAACTTGTCAAAATGACTTCTGTCTGAAATAAATACACTATTTTGACTTTAAAAAGAAATTTGTGAGTCATGAGTTACAATTTTTATTTGTTTTAGAAATATTTAAGGTTTCTTATGCTTTGATTCCTTTGGCAGACTAACTCTTAATTAATCAACATTCTTTATGCTTAAAATTTGCACATTAGAATATTTGTAAATTACTAATTTGATTTTATCTCTGCCATATGTATTACTTACTTTCTATCATATTCACAATAGCCAAAATCTGGCAATATTAGGGTTATTTCTTTGTTTTGGGACTTCTCATGTAAAAAAGTAGCCCCCCCCGCCCCCGATCTATTTTCTTCCTTCTTTTTCTTATTTATTTTCCATCACATCACCCATCACTACTTTAATTTATGGCATATATTTTCATATTCCCTTGTTCATTGTTTGTCTCTTACTGTCAACAGAAAGTCTATGAAGATGGGGAACATTTCCAAGTTTTGTTCACTGATATATCAGGAGCAATTATGAGCTTTAATGGAAAGAAAACTGCTTAATGGGAAATAAATTTAGCTTTTATTTTAATGTTTAATATGCATTTCTAAATTGTATGACTTTCTATTCATTTTATGGCATATTTACAATCTAATAATAATGCTCACTTAACAAATAAAGCCAATTCACCAGATCTATAATACTTATGGAAACTATTCTTGTTTTAATAAAGTGGTTCAGCTTTAGAGGAATTTCATTAGGTTTTCAAGGCTCGATGAGCCTATTCTCAAATTCACATTACAATTTAACAAGTAATTTTAGGGAATCCATTACACAACTATGCAAAATCTAATTAAGATGGCCTAAAATAAGATTATATAGGCTTATTACACTCAATTTTTGTTTACATTTGTATTATAACTGTGGGATTATTTTTAATAATCCTAAATGTGCAATGAATGAATATGCTTTCCCATTGCATAGCCAGGCCGGCCTTAGCAACTGATACCAACAGGAGTAACTGACAATCACAGAAAGACTTCACTCATTCCCCAGCACATTCACCTCTCTTTTTTCTTGCTCAGATACTTTAATTTCTCTGTTAAGTCTGAACTCCTTTGAGAATCTAAGAAAGATGTGGCAGAAAAATGCAGGAAAACGACCATGTATACACATATATACAACATGTCCCACGCAATTTCAAGAGATTCACAAATCTCTTGAGGCCCATCCAGAAACCATTTAGGGAGCACAGACTGCATGTTAGTATCTCTTGTCTTTTTCTTTTAGTTTCTCCATATTACCCTCATGACAGCCTTTCTTTTAACCAGCACCCTTTAGGTGTCAGGTGTGCCTACCAAAGTCGTTGTTCTTCTTCATACAATGTTATATTTGGGGTACCTAAAAAATGTTCAGATAATGTACATCATTGAAAAAAATATGTTCCAGGAAAAATTTGGGCTAAGTTTCTACCCATAGGAGTCTCAACGTTTATTATGCTATTTATTTAATTCTCTCTAATTTAATGCTAAAATTCCAGCCTATCATGTATCTATTATTTTGCATGAAAGAGGAAGTATTATAGTTATAGCCATTCAATAAGACTTAAACAATAAACAACAAAAAAACCACTGAGATAGGAAAAGAGGCAAAAAATAAAGATAAGACAATTCTTGTTACCAAACTTTATCTAGCAGGTGTCTAGTGACAGCCTGTACCTCGTTCACTCATGTAATAGATGTCAGTCAATAACAGCTATGTGCCAGCCCCAGTTGGGGAGTGGAAGCTGAAAAATGAATGAAGTCATGCTTGAAAATCAAGTTTTCTCTTTTAAGAGTGTAGAATATCATTTTATCTGTTAATGTTTGACTGCTAAATCATAGTGCAAGTTCATTACTATTTAAGGACAAAAGCTAATACCAGAGTTATACATTCTAGAGCCATTAATAAATTTCTCTCCCACTCTTTTGTATTCATCTAGACCACATCTAATGCTGTGTGAGTTATGGGTATAAATTCGGAAATCCTGTTTTGCATTAGAAGATGGGAAAAATACATTTTCTAACACAGTTTAGCACTACTCTCTAAACTTAATTCAGATATGCATGTATTCTTTCTGCTCTAAGGAGGCATCTGGGCAGAACTTTACCACTTTCTTCATGTCATAGAGTAATACCTCAACTCAATTTAGACATAGAGAAAAATAAAGCTGAAAACAACTTCTCAAACAATATTTGAGACAGCTTTTCATGGACTGAATTTTCTGGGCAAGGAAGTCAACTAGGATTGGAGAACACATTCCCCTTTACTGAATATCTGGGGCTCACTGATGCCAGGAAGAAAACAGAAGCACTAACATTTGCTATAAATAAATAGCTTTGATTATTATTATGACTAAAGTGAAAGAAAAATGAAAATTGACGTTTCTCTATTTTACATTTAAGAACTAAAGATCTACCAAAGCATAAAGATAAAGGCCTAGTGGGTTTCATAAGTCTGGTATAAAAAAATAAAATCACCCTGGTTGACAGGTGAAATTGATCTGGCATTTCACAAAAGAAGGTAAATGGATTTTTATAAAGGGTTTTCTTCTCCTTATACAAGGCACTTCAACTATTTAAATAATTTAAAAGTTATTTCTCATGGAAATAGAATCAATTTTCTATATACCTGAAGCACATTAATGTGTATTCTGAATTTCCTTCCCTCCGGCCATGTGATAAGTCAAAGCAAAGAACCCCTGAAAGCTATTACATTGTAGAAAATACAATTTTCTCCTTGAGAAAGACTAGCTACTGGTTGCTGTTAAATTTAACACACAAAATACGAAGTTACTGTAGCTACACTATGCATAGCGAAAACTCTTCCCTGGTGGTCAGCTAGCAATGTTCACAGGAAATTTAAGCTCTTGTCACATTTCAATTCACGAGAATTTAAATCCATTTTCTCAATCTCGTGTACACCAGGCCTCCCATAGTGCTTTGACCCCAGATGCCTTGTAGAAGTTTTCATTTTTGTTTTAAGTTTTACTCATTGCAGTTGGTATTATCAAAAAAAAAAAAAAAAAGATTTTTCTGAACATAGTTTTTCTAATAAATATGTTCCGGACCTTTCAACATCACTCCACTTCTACCAGAATATGGGCACTAAAGGCAAATTTCCTGTCACCATTTCGAGTACCAGGGGTCTGAGTAAAATGACAGTAATCTGGATTTTCAAATTCACAAATCAAAGTAATTTCAAAAACTAAACAAAAAAATGTAAATAATGATATTCAATCACAGTTATCAACTCTAAATTTAAATGGTTCTAAACCAAGGTTTCTGTCTATATATAGTTTGTACTAACTCTGCCTCCTGTAATCTGTTATACATTTAATAGTTTTATTGTCTCTGATGACTAACTGTATCTTTCTGATACAATCAAAGTCACTCCTCTCCAATTCTTAAAAGCCAAACGCTCTCTGCCCAGTATTATAGTAGGTCTTGACTGACAGCGTATGTCCTTGAAACTATTTCTCTATTTAGTTTTAGTACCAAAGAGATGGTGATCTCCTAAATGCGAAGAAAAAACTCAAAACCAAAACCCCAAAACAAGTCTAATAACATCTCAATTTTAAAACAGAGCAAATATTTTTTTTTTATCCTATGTGGAGTCTAACATAATTTTCTACTTAAAATTATTAGAAGGGATTTCATCAAAATCATGCACTTGGGATTTTTCTCCCTTTATCTTTAATGACTGATAACGTAGAATCTTAGCAGACAGCTCGTCTCACCTTCCTGCAGGGCTAGAGCCACTGTCTTCGCTTTCCCATTGGTCATTTTTACTTCTTGGAACTGGGGGCTGTAGCATCTCAGCGGCTAGTGGATCAGCATCATTTTCTTCTCTACCAATCCATTCTCCAATCACACGGGGCCTCAGAAGAGAAGAATTAAAAGCCACTGTTTCCTGAAGAGAAGAAAAGAATGTGCTGCCTTAGATTGCTTTTTCCTGTTAACAGAAACAACAGGGAAATAATCTTGTCTAGAGTTTTGACTGACTAACTCAAACCAAAAATGCTCCTTTTCTCTTTCTGAATCGATGTGCAACTTCAGTTCTCTCCATCTCTACTAGATGACTTGTTCTAAGCGATTTATGCTAATTCCTGAAGTCTCACTGTGCTAAAGGATCCAGGAGTGAAATCTAGGATTTGCATTTGGATTTGGATTTGGATTTGGAAGGCTCCATATGTGTTCTCAGGAGGGAAGCTTAGGACAAGCACAAGTGGCAGAAAGAAGAGTGTGTTATAGGGCCCACTTAAGGAAAGAGCTTGGTGTCTTCACTGCTGGGAAATGGTAAATAATTTCTCAGGTGGAAACTAGGTTGGGGTCAGAGGCCTGGGGCAAGAGGAGGTAGGGCTGGAAGGGTGCATGAGTTTCAAACTGTGAAGCATTTTGGAGTTTTAAGAATCCAGGAGTTCAAAGTAGGGCAATATGAATAAAAGGTACATTATGCTAATTTAACAAATATTAAAGTAATCTCTTTTCGTAGACTTGGATATGATACAGCTATTAAAATGATATTGTAGGAAAATATTGAATTAATATAATTGTTAAGAATATTTTAAGTGAAAAAAGGGCAAGTTAAAAAGCAGTACCTACAGTATGATCTAATTTTTGTTTAACAAATTGATTTGGATGTATATTCATTACTCACTCGCTAATTCATTTATTCATTTTCTAAAATCTAATAAGACATACTATGTGCAAAGAACTGCTTGAGGAAAACAATGGTGAATAAGGTCAAAATTTAATAGTGGTTTTAAATGAATGGAGGGACTGCAGATAATTTTAATTTCTTCCTTTGGCATTTCAATGCCTTTTTAATAATCTATGGTAAATATATACTTGTAATAAAAAAAATGTATCTTTAAAATATCTTCATCTGACAAATACAGGCCTTGTTTAAATTATGTTTAGTGAAAACTTTTAGTATTATAAGAATCTTGAACAATTCCTTAAAAACTCAGACCTAGTGTTCTGAGTCTTTACAATTCACAAAAATATTATACAAATCCAATACAGAATATAATACAAATATTACAAAATATGCAGTTTAACATGTGCTTAACATACAAATACAATGCATAAAATAGGATTTAGGGAATATTTTATTTTTGTTTGTTTGTTTTTTGTTTTGTTTTGTTTTGTTTTTTGAGATAGAGTCTCACTCTGTTGCCTGGGCTAGAGTGCCATGGCATCAGCCTAGCTCACTGCAACCTCAAACTGGGCTCCTGGGCTCAAGAGATCCTCCTGCCTCAGCCTCCCGAGTAGCTGGGACTACAGGCATGCACCACCAAGCCCGGGTAGTTTTTTTCTGTATGTTTTCAGTTGTCCAGTCAATTTCTTTCTATTTTTAGTAGAGATGGAGTCTCGCTCTTGCTCAGGCTGATCTTGAACTCCTGACCTTGAGCCATCCTGCTGCCTCGGCCTCCCAGAGTGCTAGACTTACAGGTGTGAGCCACCGCGCCTGGCCGATGTTATATTTTATAAGCGTTTCTCCAAGTGACAGTTAGTGATAGAAAGTAGTGAGATATATTAATATTGATCTATCCTATATGAAATATAGCAGATAAAGTTCAGAAACAGTCTTTGTAATAACTTAGCAACTAATCTGAACTGTCTGTACTTATGCCGCCAATATCAGGAAACCAAAGCACTACAATGGATTTCAGCTGTGAAATCGAGCAATAAAATTAATGTTTTAAAATAACTGGAAAGATATATTCATCTGTCGTAATTTAACATTATTTGAAGTACAAGAATTAATTTTAACAATATAGTTAATTTTTAAATCTATTTTTACTTTTAAAAGGAAATGAAGATGAAGATGTTTCAAAAATTTTTAAAAAAAATCTATGAACATATTTATAGCTTTGTAATCCTCTTCAGCCTGTGAGACCTTGAAATGTTACTTATTTTCTGAATTTCATTTTCTCCAACAGTGAAACGGGTATGATAAGATTTATAAAACTTACTGTATCAAAAAATTTGTGGGTAATGTAGTTAAACCATAAAATTCTGTACATATGCTAGATATAAACATTTAAGAATGTGGACTGTTTTCCAGCCATTTCTATATATTTGATACATTACTGCTGGAATGGGCAGGCTGGGTAGGAATAGATGCTTGGTGGTCAAGATGGGCAGAGTAACAGAACAGGGAACTGACAGTGCAGGTTTTCATCCTATAAAGTTTTATTTTATGAATAATATATTTAAAAGGTTGAGTAATTCAATGTTAACTCATTTACATATGGGGCAGAATTGAGCTTAGAGATTTGTCTTTACTATAGGCTCAAAGTAAATAAGAGTTGGAACAAATACATTGACCACTAGAACAACAGAAATAAATGGGTTTAGAACTGTAAACAAAAAATGAAATAGGTTTTCGAGTTGGGTATGATCAAAAAGTTGAGAACTGCAGATTATCAGAAACAACCCCTTGGTTGCTTACTGGGAAATTAAATGAAATGATAGATGCCACTGCTGTCGGAAAGCAGAGCACAGAAAGAGGATAAACGGTGTGATATTCAGGATGTTTAACTCCAGCTGGCAGCACAAACTTAGTGAGAAATAGCTGACATCAAAGCAATACAAAGAGTTGCAAACAGGGTCCAGGAGTTAGGAAGTGAATATTTCACAGATGAAAAAACAGGTCTCTACTATTTTTCTTTTTCTGAATGTGCAAAACTCGTTATATACCTACCATCCTCGTGTTGATGAAATGATAGAAGCAAAGAGTACTTTCTCTTTTTAAAAATGTCCTATCTCTGGAAATTCCCAAATATGCACAAATAATAGGTTAAAATAGCAGATTTTTTTGCATATTATTTATATTTGATTAAGCTAAGTAAACACCTTTCCATGTATTTTTATGAAAGGATTGCCATGAAGAAAGTTGTTCTTAACACTACATAAAACATATCACAAACATTACTGCATGGCAAAATAAATTTATAGATGCAAATAAATAAAAAATGTTTTTGAAAATATTTTAAATACATAGGTAAAGAAATCATTTAAACTTCCAGGGAGAAACGTTATAAATCCTAATGATTCTTTAATAATGTTAAAAATACACATTCCTTTGCCCTTTCAAGGTTAGAGGTCCCTAAATGTTGAAGTTCTTATGCTCAAATTTAATAAGAAAAGCATCCCCAGTCAAAAATTTTCCCAAAGATCACAATTTTTGTAGCAGAGCCTATCAGCAAGAGGCTCACCTATCCAAGAAGTCACTACTGATGATCAATTTGAAATAATGAAATATTTCTTATATACTCTTAAGTTTTGATATATCACTTCACAAAAGGAAATTTTTGGAACACAAAATTCTGCTACAAAAACACAGTAGATATTTGGACTTGACAGTAAACATCCTTAAACTATACACACATTAAACCTGAATTAGAGATTAAATAAGGTAATGTAAACAGACAGTTAAAAGCTCTTTTCCCCTTAGCCTCTGTTATTTTTAGTAATTAGTATGAACTGATTCACGCTTAGTACAATTAGTGTGTACTAGGAAGTATTCAAAGAATTTTGTTTTAGTCTTTAATGATATTTACTTATCAGCTCACATTCTTATCAAAAACTTTGTGTCACCTACAATGAAAAACCTGTAACAATTTGTATATTATTACTCAACATCTTAAAACTGTAATATGAATAATATAAAGGGATAAAATTGCTTTTATTTTATTCAGAACATACTGATGAGGTGCTTGTGGCTCTCAACTTTCATTACTAAGTTTCAACTTTGCAGATACTTTTCACAATATCATTTATAAATGGAGTGCAAGGACATTAGATAGTTTGGGTTTATACTGCTTTAAAATGATAACTTTGCAAAGTTTACCTGAAAAAATAGACCAATCTTGTTGATTTGTATCTACCCACATTTATGTGGTGAAGATGAGAAATTATCCTGTGTGTCTCATAGCACGTAATTTATACAAAGTAGCTGAAGAAAGAAGGAAAAGGGGAGGGTTGTAGGCAAAGAGGTAAAAGACCAACATTAAAATGAATCAGTGAGGTCAGGTCTCAAAACTCAGAACCTATGCCTTTTGTACTTTGTTTAGAAAGGCCTCTCAAAGATTTAAACTACTTTTTAAAAAATTGTATGAGAGAAAAAAAATTGTATATATTTAAGTGGCACAAAGTGATGTTTTGATATACATATACATTGTAAAATGATTATAAGCTAGCTAATTAAAAGAACTGAACTACTTTTTATCATGTACACCTAGTATATCATACATGTGTACAGCATTCAATTGTTCCAGTGCTAACTTTCTCATTCTAACTTACATCCATTTCATTTCCCTCTGTTTACTTTGTTTGCTGGCTCCCATACTCCCTTCCTTAAAATTATTTCCTCTTATAAAATTTCACTCCCCTGTCTGGTGAACTTCTACTTTCTTGTATACTTCTTGTTTTGTTTCTGCCTGGTCCAAAATTCCACAACTCCAACCATTTGGATAATTATTATGCTGCTGGATGAATATAAGACCCATAGTAGGATATTTTTATGGATTACAGAAGGCTAGTTGGGATGTCCTATGGACTAGATAAGCAAATTCTATTGTATTTTAATAATTGTAAGAATTTCTGTATTACTATTTCCACTCATATTATAGATTAAATATCCTAAAAACACTCCTTCTTCAAAATATTCAATATTGCTAGATGAAATGGAACAAGAAATCATTTAAATGCAAAGCTGTGAAAAAGGAGCTTGTGGGGAAAGATAGGAAATCATCAGAAGAGAAAGTCTAAGTCTAGGCTGGAAAGTGGGAGGGAGCACATGCAAACAGCTCCTGTTGCATTTGGACAGATCCTTGGTAGCCTAGACCTTTGGCTTTAATGATCAAGCCCTTGGTGTATGGAGGGGTGAAAGTACAAAAATAA